AACAACTTTTAATTATATTTTAATATGTTTCAAAAAAATTATTTCTTTTTTCTTTTTTTCTTTTCTTTTCTTTTTCTTTTTGTTTTCTTTCTCTTTCTTTTTTTTTCCTCCCCTCCCTTCTTCCTTCAGCCAGTCGCCGAACTTCGGCGACCGGCCAGAAGCCAGGGCCGACGAGTTCGACCTCGCCGGATGGCCACAAGGGTGGCCTGACGCTTGCTGGCGAGGGTCGAGCCTCGCTGGCCATGGGCGAGGCCCGACCTCGCCAGATCCAGTGAGGTCGCGGCCTCTGGCAAGGACGAGGGTGAGCCTTGCTAGTGGCCGGTTGTCGCAATCGGCTGGAGCAACAAGGGAGGGGAGGAAAAAAAAGAAAAATAAATAAATGAATAAATAACTCGAAAAAATATTAAAATATTAAAAGTTGTCCATGTCGACGGCCCGCCGGCGTCCACGTCAGCAATATCCGGTGAAAAATAGACGGAAGGATTGAATTGGCACGACATCAAAAGGTTTAGGATTAAATTGATACAAATGCAATAGGTTTAGGACTTTTACAACACTTTTCCCGAGTTCACTCTTTGGTCTCGGAATCAATCTTATAAATAAAAAGCACCATGCTCGATGAATACCCGTCACCTTTTTTTTTTTTTAATTTGTAACAGGTAACTTTCATCTGCAGAATAGGGGGCACGACTCATAACATTATGCTAAAACAGAGGACATTGGTAATCAAACATCGAGCGCTCATCGGTTCGGTCATTACTCTAGAAGTTATCGTATCCCTTTGGCCTGGCCCACATTGTTCGAATCTCAAAATTTGTACTCCAAATAATCACACAGGGTGGTGACAATTAACGATGGATCTTACTTTATCACAAGGCCATAATCATCCGATATGGGACGTGGGCCGTCACAAACTTTCCTACCTAATGTCCTCGTCTGTTTTGAGATGTACTACCTAGCGATACTTTGTTATTCAATACGTTGCCTAAATCAATTCCTACCCCCTCTATCATCCTAGAAGCCTCCAAAAGTCACACCTTGTCCTAACCATCTCATCATGACAATCGCTTCTCATCTTCATTGAATCAAGTACGAGTCTAGTTCGTCTGCGAACAACCCATCTACAAGGAGTTTCTTGTTAGGATTAGGCATACAAACACAACGAAATAGAGAGTAAAAAGACGAGAAAGAAAAATCGAGACACGAGATTTTATTCTGATTCACCACTAAATTAGAATTACATCCAACAAATAATTCCACTAAAATTAGCACCTCCCATCTTCATGTTACAATTCTCAACTATAAAAGAAAACAATTATATAAGTCCAAACTACCAATGAAATATGGGCTCAAACTATAAAAGCCATCTAACATCGTCGGAACTCCACCCCTTACGACCTCCCGTGCCTTCCTATCAATGGAGAGTATAAACCGCAACCTAACAGGTCTCCCTACTAACCCAATCCACGTGGGTCAAACTTTTAAGATGAATAATTATGAATAATCACACAAGATGATGATGAATTGGGTGTCTATCTTACTTATAAATGACGCCTCGTGTCTCGTCTATTCAATTTTTAACTTGGGGATATCTCAGTTTTTAAATGTCGCAATGCCCAACCTTAGCACTCGCATTGTACAAGCAAAAGGTCAAACTCCAAGCGTGATGGCGTGTCGGTAAACGAGTTTAGCATAGATTCAATCTTAGCTCCTTAAATCTGAGCTAATCAAGAGCAGCACTAGCCGCCCGCAACGCAATTAAAGAAATTGAACCAGCACGTGACCGAAAACAAAAATATAAAAGGCGAAAAACATCAAAGACGTGACGGGCCGATCCCCACAGGGTGGGACCCACACGGTGACGTGGCAAGACGAGGACCGCGGTAGTTTGAAAAAGGGGTAGATGGTCTGTCCCGTGCTTATCCGGGCCGGGTTCAGCGCCCATCGTCGCGGACACGTGTCGCGAGGCGAGGTGGGGACCGACGGCGACGTTTTGCTGGCGCTCGCCGGCAAAAGCAATTTCAGCCTCGCCGTTCTCTCCTCGCGACACGGCGTTGACTCCGCCGTCTCGCTCGAGCTGGAGATGCGATGGCCAAATTGGATCGATCCAATGACATCGTCGGATGTCGAAAAAAGCTTAGGAGTTTTCTATCCTCGCTTTCGAGGCATCGGTTTACGGCATAATTGGAAAAACTAAGCGTATCCCGAAAACCGAATATGATCAGGCCGATTCATCCGATGCAGATCCGACGCGGCGTGTTCGTTTCTAATCGATTTACCCTTTTTCAATCGAGCCAGCGCGGCTTCGGAAAAACCTTAGTGACGGGATTTTAGTCCTGCTAAAGCTCCGAATGAAACATATCAAAGATGGTAAGGGTTATCCTTTTGGGGGGGCCAAAGATGGCAAGGCTCGACGATGCCCTTTTTAGGACATGAAACATCGGTCCAAGCTTTCTATTTTTGTTGGATTGAGAACAAGATATGGACACACGCAAACAACAGTGCCGCTTTCCCACATTCTTGAGCAATTTGGTCAGCAGTCCCTCGCTCAAATCTTGATAAGAATTGAACCGTGACCAATGACCATAATGTCACCCGAAAACCTCCAAGTCCCCATGAAGTTTCCTCCGGGGAAAAGTACCAAAAAAGTTCTAAATCTTTTGCATTAGTGCCAATTTAGTCCTAAACCTTTTTTTGGTGCCAATTCAGTCCTAAACCTTTTGCATTTGTGCCAATTTAGTCCTAAACCTTTTTTTGGTGCCAATTAAGTCCTAAACCTTTTAAATTGGTGCCAATTCAGTCCTAAACCTTTTGTTTTACGTGTCAATTTAGTCTTCCGATCAATTTTGGTCGAAATTTGCCCGATGTGGGCGCTGTGGCCGGCGTGGTCGATCATCTAGCCGACGTGGACAACTTTAATAATATTTTCATTTTTTTTTTGAATTTTTATTTTTTTTCCTTTTTTTCTTTTTTTTTCACTTTTTTTTTGTCCCCCCCTCCTTCCTCGAAGGCTTGGCCGCTGGGTCCGGCGATCCTGCAGGCCGTAGAGACCGGCGAGCTCGACCTCGCCGGCCACTGGCGAGGGCGAGCCTCGCCTTGGTCGGGCGAGGCTCGACCTCGCCAGATCCGGCGAGGTCGGGCCTCGCCGCGACCTCCGGCGAGGTCGAGCCTCGCCCGACCAAGGCAAGGCCGCCGCCCTCGCCAGTGGCCGGCAAGGTCGAGCTCGCCGGCCTCTGGCCTCTGGCTGGTCGTCGGACTGGCGACCGGCCACAGGAAGGAGGGGGGGACCAAAAAAAAAGTGGAAAAAAAAAGAAAAAAAGGAAAAAAAAAATCAAAAACTATTAAAATATTATTAAAGTTGTTCACGTCGGCGCCGGTGACCGGCCGGCAGGCGTCCACATCGGCAAATTTCAGTCAAAATTGATCGGAAGGACTAAATTGACACAGAAACAAAAGGTTTAGGACTGAATTGGCACCAATTTAAAAGGTTTAGGACTAAATTGGCACTAATGCAAAAAATTTAGAACTTTTTTTGCACTTTTTCCAGTTTCCTCCCAATCAAAGCTCTCTCTTTTGTGCTGAGAAGATGCTCCTCCGCCTTAACAACCATTCCCCACCAATTACAGCACTTGATTTCCCATCAGCTCATACTTTAAAAGATCATCACGCTTGGTCATAATAAAAAGCACAGTGATGCTTTGGGTCTTCCAACCCTCTTCATCTGTACAGCATATTCCATTTCGATAAAGAGTAGCGGTCAAAAGTGCCGGTTGCTCATTCGAGCTTCCCGTCCCGCTCCGTTTATTTTACGAAAAAATAAATAATTGAAAAAACTTTATTCTAAAAACTATCGTTTACAAAAATGAATGAACGAAGAATGTTTTCATCGTCCACGAAATGTGACAAAAAATTGTCATCGACAATGGAAATGTTTTTAGTTAGCTAATTATTTCAAGCAATACAAGCGATCAATTTTAGGAAAATGTCTTCCGAATCATTCATTTTCTGCGAAATAAATAGAGCATGATTATTGGCACTTTCAACAGAACTCGATTTCACCGTTGAATATTTGGTTTTGCCATCGTTTTTTTAGCAAATCAATTAGCGCAAATTCAAGTAGGATGTGTGACCCAATCCAAGTATTTTGGAGGGCATCATGCTGGTCACTGAAAATCTCCGGTTCCAACACTGATAGGAAAGAGGAAACGAATGCGAAAGTTTAAATGATTTCGCACCTACGAGGTTTGAAGACGTGTGAACCTCGAACCCATACCAACCGAGTTTCTACTGTTCAAAGTATGAACAAGTGAAGACGGATCCTTCGCTTATCTCTCTCAGATATTTGGACCCATGTGCGATTTGAGCTGACATCGAACCTCAATAGTTTTATGGAATCCCGCCATTCACGCCAACTGTTGTCCAGGTCGATAGCACGTTTTACCCACAATAAACAAATAGATGCATGAACGAACGAACGAAATATCTTACCTAGGGATGTAAAAGAAGAAGAAGCTCGATCAAGATGGAGCGGATAAGCTTCAAAGTTTTATCCCTTACCAGGTCAAACTGTTCTTGGCCACGGTCAAGTAAAACATACGGATGCGTTTGGATCTTAGCGAGGGTATATCCACCGCATGGCGTTCCTTCTGCTTTTGGAAGACCTGGTTGTAATTTTATATGTCCGAATATAACAAGACGTGTACAACTAGGGAGGGACTAGGACGTTTGCTTTTGTAGTGGGGGCTTCATCTACTCCAGCAAAGATTATAGTACAGCATGAATATAATAATACAGAACGGGAACCTCATGTGGCGAGGACAAAATGTCTTACTTCAGCAGGTTGTGGATAAGAAAGGCACCCGTTCAAAACTTTCAAAAGGAATTCAAGTCAAAGAGCCCACCAATCAAATCCATGCAGCTTTCCACAAGATGACAAAATCCATCACAAATAAAAGGCAGGGGCCTCTCCATTCCAATATTTCAAAAACCTAGTTTCTCTTCACGGCCTTCCTTTCCCTTGTAGCCTGGCCTCTCCAGTCCTCTCTCTCTCTCTCTCTCATCATCGTCACCATCCTCAGCTAAGGAATATTTAATCAAGTGTAGTGCAAACTTTAGTCTCGCCAATCATCAACCGTTATACTTCTCAATTTGTCTTTGAGCTCTTGTGTTCATCTGTTCCACCAGAATGGAGGGCATGTCTGTTTCTTCTGGCTCTGGCCTCCCTCCTGGGTTCAGATTCCATCCCACGGATGAAGAACTAATCATGCATTACCTAAGAAACCAGGCCACGTCCAGGCCATGCCCCGCGGCCATCATCCCAGAAGTTGATATTTACAAATTTGATCCCTGGCAATTACCTGGTTGGTCCCCGACTTTAGAACCCCACCATGAAAGAAAGATTGAATTTTATGACGGTTGTATGCAATTCAATTGTACGTGTATGTGGTATGTTGATTAATGAGTGGTTTTGCTTTCTTGGGTTTGTAGAGAAAGCCGAATTCTGGGAGAACGAGTGTTACTTCTTCACGCCGCGGGACCGGAAGTACCCGAATGGGGTGCGCCCCAACCGGGCGACCGTGTCCGGATACTGGAAGGCCACAGGCACGGACAAGGCAATCTACAGTGGGTCAAAGTACGTCGGGGTCAAGAAGGCCCTCGTGTTCTATAAGGGCCGCCCGCCCAAGGGGACCAAGACCGACTGGATCATGCACGAGTACCGACTAACCGACGTGAAAGGACAAGCGAAGAAACGAAGCGGGTCGATGCGAGTAAGTCTCAGTGATTGAAGTTTGATTCGGGGCTTATGTGAAACGTTGCGATCTGATCATGCTTAGCCTTGATTGCATCTATTTCAGCTGGATGAGTGGGTGCTGTGCAGGATCTACAAGAAGAGGCAAACTGGCAAGACATTGGAGCCCGGAATTGAAGAACCCAATCATAATGTCCAAGCAACTGACAAAGTGTGTGCCAATCTTGATGCTACTGACCCACCAATGCTGAAATTCCCAAGGACATTCTCACTGACCCATCTGCTGGAAATGGACTACTTGGCCCCATTCTCCCACATCTTATCTGACAACCCCTACAGTGCAATCTTTGATTTCCAAAACACCATAAGCAACAACTCTGGAAATGATTGTGCTGATCAGAAACCACAGGGTGGACATATGCCCCACCACGTGGCAGATAACTGGGGCAAGTTCCAAGCGGTTCAGAACAGTGCCTTGAACCAGACCGTGGTCATCAACCCCATCTTTGACCTCCAGTGATTTGTTGGGGACAAAAAATCAAAAAAGAAGAAAAAAAAAATCATGGCTTTAAATAGAAAGGAAATTTGAAATTTGATTATGCGAAGAATTTGAGGATCGGCAGGACACCACCAGCTATTCAAGAAACGAAAAATCTGTAATTTGGTTGTAAGGGTTTATATATAAGTATAATGAATCAGTGGAAATTTTTACGTGCAATCTCAGCTCCTTTCTTGCAAGTCTCTTTCACGGGCGTAGATGACGATGAGAAAACAGTCTCTTTTCGTAGAAACTATGGATTGATCGCAAAGCTCAAGGGGTTGGTTTTCTTTGTCGTGATGTATTTCGGTTGATGCCAAAAGTGGTTGTTCATCTTTCTTAATCTATGGATAAGACCGGACCGTGATAAATTTTAAAACTCGAGCTGTCTCTTTCGAACTGAGGTTACCAACCAATGTCCTCCGAATCAATTCTCCTCTATCGACCTGCCAACTGGCAGAATATTAGGCAGTAATCGTGTGCTGGGCACGTGTTTCATCTCACGATTTCGTCGCATCTTAAGACGAATTGAATTGCATGCGTCGGCACCAGAGGAGGTACCTTCGAATTTTGAAGAATATACCCTATGAGAAACGAGAGAGATCCAATGCGTGTGCCAGGGGGAAACCTCTTGAAAGTTTGAAAGATACTTGTCCTCCTTCGTCGGGACTCTAATGCTCTTGTCTTGACTTCCTCGACATGTTACCCTCCTTCCATTTGGTTGCTTAAACATGGGGATTTAGGCCTGCGGCTTTCTCGGTCAATCGCGGGTTTTTCTTGTCGCACACCATACGTTAACCTAACCGGTTAACCGGTCATTTAGTGCCGTATTTGCCAAGTTCGCGGGTATGCGATAACGTAGACGATCAATTGTTCGGCCAGGTTTAGTTTTGACACTCTTTACATTCCGTGAAGATCTCTTTGAGCACCGGATTAGCCCTGTCCGATTCATCAAAGCAAGTGCTCTCTCTCAGGTGCATGAGTAAGCATCTAGAATCGTATGTTCTCTCATCGACTTTGTGGGTTCATAAAGAAAAAGAGAGAGAGAACAATCCAAACTCGAAAGGAGCCAACAGATCGGTCAGACAAGCAGCCAAGCTCAATAAATCGGACCGACCCTACAATGGAAGTCCTAATCAACCATCACTATTTTTAACTAAGACCTGATCATATCAAATTGCAGATCACACCAGAGAGGGCCCATAGGCGTGGCTCACCCACCTCTCACTAGCCAACCACATCCTCTTACCCATCACAAGGAAAAATGCCAACTACTCCATGCTGAAACTTGCCTCGAGTCCTCCATGCTTGGCCAACTCGATTGAACTAAGCGAAAATGAAGGAATTGACATGAACAAAACAAACAAGACTTTTCATTGCTTTTATATATATCTCGGCATAGCGGTGTGAATGTTAGGTATAGGTCTATGCGCAGAGGTATGACTTGAGCTAGTCCAAGCTTATATTTCACAGAATATGGAGGCGTCGTAGGGGGGGGGGGGGGGCTAGATGGGGCACCGAAACCTTAGAACAGACTTCAAGTAAGCAGTTTCTCTTGCTTGTCTTTCCAATCACTAACTTCGGCATCGATTTTTGCTTCCACTGTCGCACGAAATCCAGGGTATGGCTCGTATCCAAAAGACGTCTGAAGGGCCTGAAAAGTTGTAAAAAAAAACAAACAGAAAGAAACACACGGGAGACTGTCAGGAACATGTTTGAATGGAAGAGATCATGCATTGACGGACGCTACTTAAATGCTTTCAAGAACTCACCTCCAGCAACACAAAGAAGGGAGCCATCAAGAAGGCTTGAGCGAGGTTGTCCAGAAGAGCTGGGGCTCTTTTCTGTACAAATTAATTCAGCTGATCAGCTGCAGATAAGATCGCCAATTCCTAGAGCTCTTTCAAGGGAAGTATTAGCCTACCTCAAAGACCCCGTGGCCAATGAACTGCCCAGTCCAACACACTATCTGAGCCACGAGAACAACCTGATGACGAAGATGTCAAATGGCGGAAGCGAGTAATACTCATTCAATTTTAATATTTAACAAGAAGAAAACTGGCAGATTGGTGCCCAGGGAAAACGGCTTTATATGGAACATCATTTGGACAAACCACGTGACAAATGATGGCACCAGAGCACTCTGAAGTTTCCCCAATCACTCTAAAGTTTAAAAAACAGCACTAATGGAGTGCCATGAAAGGAGCAAGAGAACAAATATAAATGAATGATGACTTTGTGTTCTTTGCTGGAATTAGCAAATGCTACTAAATCTGTTTAAGATGAAAACCAACACCAAGATCACAAGATCCTATGAATGCCAGCAACCTCCTTATCCTGATGAACAAGATGGCTCGAGGAAATTGACTTTCAGGAACTATCACGGAAATTTATGCACATATACAATAAGTAAATTATTAATATTTGTTGACACAAGTCTTAAAACTTCTGCAACACTGAGAGAAAGCCACATCCTTTTCCATCACAAAATAATCAAGTGCCATCAACCCTTCATTATATGTTGAAAGTAGCAAACCGTACAGCAGAAAAAGGGAAAAGAAAAGAGTAGCGAGATGAAATTGCTAGCAATCTTTGGAAGAGGAAACTATAGAAAACCTAATAAACAACAGTTGCATTTGTCAGAATAAAGTACTTTGTGCATGTATGTGTGTGCTTTGTTTTCCTTTATTTACCTGAATCCCACATAAGTAGCTAATGATGTTATCAATAAAACAGTGAAACAGCACCGACACCGCATAGGTCCTTCAAAGTAACTTGGCCTATTAATCTTGACCAGCCGCAACTGTTTCCACGGCAAATGGAACTTGCCTGTAAACTATTCTCTCAGCTGGTACCACGCACGCACATATATATATTACAATGTTAATTGATCTAAAAATTGCACCGCATCTGTGAAACTCTGATGGATATAAAAAAGAAACAAAACTCTCTGGAGAAACGATATATAAGCGAAAAATGAGCGCCAACAATAAGTATTAGCAGTCACGAAAAGTACCGGGATCACTAATTCAGTGAACATGAAACAATGATGCACCTTCGAGATATATATGGACAGTGTGAGTCCACATGCTATCCTCAGTTCTGATTTTGAAGTTCACCAATCCTCACAGATAGCATACCCGGCTGAGAACAGGGGAGCAACTGCACCAGTCTCCTTTTGTAGTTCCAAAGATAATTCACAGCCGGAGCTCAAAGGATAGAGAGCAAAAGCTCCAAAACTGAAGATTCTACTGAGAACTTCACCGCTACAGGCAAACGAGCCACAACCAATTTCGTTCCCCAATCATCGAATGCTAGCATACCGAACACTGAAGTGCGAGTCGCATAGAACACCACAGACACCAAAAAAAACGACCCAATACGACTCAGTGAAACAACACTACCTATGCGTAGCCGTTTTCTTGGCCATGTGCCTATGTGTAGCCTAACTGCCCTTACACTCCTAACATTTTGGGATGAGGGCACAGCTGAAAAGAGAACTCAATTGGAAACTCATAAGTCATAAGCAAAACTGAGTAAAAAAGACAGCAGGATTTCCACCGAACCCACCAAAACGAGCAAGCACATAACAAGCCGGGGGCTTTCAAGAAAATCACCTTCCAAGCGAGAGAGAACCCGAGCCTGCTGGCGACGAAACTGGCGGCGACCCAACAAACCAGGCAGAGCAGAGCGGCCAAAGACCCGGCCCTCGGATCGAGGAACACGTAGAACGCGGAGTAGACCAAAGTCAGCACGCACCCGACGTTCAAGGCCAAGGCCAGGCCGTGCCCGAACAGGGATAGCTCGACCCGAGGGAGGCCGAAGAGAGGAGGGGTGAAGCAGAGGAGGAGCAGGGCGGTGAAGAGGATGGGCCACACGAACACCATGTGGATGGCCACGTTGACCGGGTTGCCGTGATACGCGCCGTAGAAGGCGAAGTGCCTCTCGAGGTCGAATAGCCCCGCCTTCGCCATCTCCGAATCCGGCGAGAGTTTCGATTTTTCACCTCGGAAATGGTCGATGGGTCGGCCTGATTCTTCGCGGGTTCGAGCCCCGGCGAGGAGGGTTTCGAGGGCGAACGCGGCAGCGGTTCAGCAGGGGAGGCGAGAGGCGATGGAGAGCGTGGAAAGACGGCGGAGGGACGCCGTGGAAGGCGGTCGTCGCGGAGCTGGGGGAGATCAGTAAAATCGCATTGCTTTGCATTGAAGTGATCTTTCTTCTTCTTGGTCTGGATTTGGAATAAGGTTGGTTGGTTGGTCCACTCCGAAAAAAAATGTTTTTTCTTTTTACATTCTGGAAGCTGTGATGGTTGAGGGGTCAAAGTCAAATTTGAGGTGCGATTAGGCGATCAGGGAGTTTGGAAATCGGGAGCAATTCCCCATAACCAATTATAGTTGGATAATAGATATTGCAATGCAATCCCAATTCTTTTAAATAATCGATAATTTCTTGTAATTCTCTCGAGATATTTCAGTATCATTACGGCTCTTCCGAATGAAGGAGTAAATATTTGCGAGTTCAATTTTCTCTCGATTGATCCATCCATTTATTGTATATAGTGAAAGTCGGAACCGATAGAATACTTGCTCCCACCCTTGCCGTGCAACCCTTTCACTTTAGCTCTGGAATTGTCATGCGGCGAAACACATGACATAATTTTGTCGCGTAGTACGTGTTCAATCGATAAGCATCATTATCTGGAGACTCCTATGTTTTGCTGAGTTCAAATTTCGGAAACTGAAATGCTTTTTGAACAATGCAGTATACTTTTTTCATCCCGAAATTTCTATTTTTGTAGTAGTTTAAATTTCAAAAGATGGATAAAGGACAAGTATCTTTGAATATAGTTTTTGTCAATACAGAAAATTTTCATAAAAGTAAATGAAATTTGAAAGAAAACTTTAAAAAGTTAGTAATGAGTTAATTTACTGATATTCTAAAAATGCAACTTATTTTAGGTCAATGAATAAATCACGGGTAAATGAAATTTGAAAGAAAACTTTAAAAAATTAGTTGAGCACCCATCTCGGCCATGGATGATGGGGGAACCCTTCCGGCATCACTGGCGATCGGCCTGAGCTACCACCTCTGGCTCCGTCTTTTTCTGTACTTCTCCGATCACCTCCATATCCGAAATCGTGTCAAGGTATAGCGTCGCTCGCCACCCATGTCCATGGTCGCTTTTCCGTTCAGGCGTCGTGTCGCTCGTCCATGGCTGTCGTTGGCGTTGAGCGATGCCGAAAGGGGTAGGTCAGTGCTGGCGACTCCGCTGGTGGCCACAGCGAGGGGGAAATGCTGCAACTCCAAGGACGTTCTTCCATGGCTGAGGTTGAATATATATTTGGCAAATTTCTTTTATTTAATTTCGCGTCAGTGGACATGTGTCAAATTATGAGCGGCTGGACTAGAACATGTATGACGCGTATGCAGCTGACATGGTAGTTTCTAACCACAGAACAGACATAACAGTCCCGAACAAACATTTTAGTCGAACACATCGGTAAAATTCTCGAAGTGATGAAGTACAAACATGTAGAAGAATACGACATTTTGTCATAATAAAGTTCAAACATGTAACATTGTTTTATAACTGCCGTGACGACTTGTCGTAATTGGATGTGAAACAATTGTGAAAACATAAAGACCAATTCAAAGTTACTTCCACTTTCTCCGTCGAGCATATTGATCTCTCCATAAATGCTTTAGAAGACCTATTCCGTGAAGCTGAATGACAAACTTCTCCTCCTCCTCCTCCTCGGGACTAGAAGGGCCACGTTTTATGTCTGAATCGAGATTGTTCGCCCACCTTAACCGGCAACTCTTGCCGCAACGAAGCCGACCTATCAAGCAGCAACGCGGAACCATCACCGGTATTTGAACTCACAATATCGGACATATGTAACAAGCCATCTACTGCAACACTAATAGTCTAATTCGTGGAGAAAATAAAATACAAAAAGAAGCGAAATTTAGCAAAAGAAATGAAAATTTAACAGATTGGACAATGTAAGCTTGCTGATGGGTGATGCTCAATTAATCATCTCAACATAGGAGGATTCCCGAGCACGGACGTCGCGGCCAGTGAAATGAGTCACCGCTAGTAACGAAAGAAGAAAACTGCCCGTTGAGTTCAAGAATTGGCCTACTGTAGATCCACCTAGCAGCTAAAAACATATGTGCATTTATGGAATGCATGCATGGTATGCATGATGCAAGTGACCTAAAGTGACTTGGATTCGCACAAAGAATGGCTCTCGACGGATTTTTGCGCCATGCTTTGCACGTCAAATTCCGAAATGAGGATTTGCCATTTGGCCAATTTCCCAACCAGAGCGGGCTTCTCCAGGAGGTATTTAATGAGATCATTCTCACTCACTAGCAGAATTCGGTGATGAAGAGTATATTGACATAATCGACGTAATACCCACAAAAGAAAAGCATCATTCAACTTTAAAAATAAGGGTTTGTATTTTGTTCCGTTCTTCTTGCCTCAACAACAACAAGATCGATGGACAGTTAAAAAATAAGGACTTTTTCATTGCGACAAAGAAAATCCCATCAAATGAACTATTGATTCAACCTTAGTGAAGATAAAAGTTATTGAGCTAAAAATTGTTCGGTTGCTTGAGAGACAAATCAAAAAAATGAAAAAAAAAAAAACTGAAAATCACGCGTTTCCTCTTAATTCCATGAATCAATCGAATGCTATCGCTCAACTGGTGACCATAGAAGAAATGCGACCGGCGGGGCCTCTCGGAGGAACCGTAGCCGCGAATGGGGCTCCGTTAAGATTGATGTTGTTATTCTTGCAATAACTCTAGAAAACTATGCAAAGGGCCATGAGCAAACGAACTCCTCCATGGTACCCTCCACTTTGCAGCCGATTCATCTGCGTTTGCACCCATTTCGAATCAATGCTCTCAATTCAAACAGCGAGACTATACAAATAACTCATAGAATTTTTCAAAAAAGTTAATACCACGGAAAACCCCAAATCTAATATACATGTGACAATTTTACCCCAAACTAATTTTTTGACCACAAAAAATCCCAAACTGATACACCTGTGACAAATTTATCCTCAGTTAGATTTCGTTAAATTTTAATGTCAAATTGGTTTGTTAAATGACACGCGACAGTTGACTGATATGTCAGTTTTATGTTTTACCCTCCATTTATTCCAATTTGTGATTTTTTGTTGTATTTTTTCAATTTAACGAAAATTAACGGATGGTAAATTTGTCACAAATGCACCAGTTTGAGATTTTTAGTGGTCAAAATATTAGTTTGGGGTAAATTTGCGTTAGCGTGATTGTGCGTGCGTGAGAAAGAGAGAGAGAAGAGTCAGCTGATGAATCGCAGCAACCGATGGGCCTCCTCCGGAGGCGAAGGGGGCTCGCGACCTAGCAGCTGCAATGGCAAGGCTATCGGGGGAGGCGACTCGCCAGAGGTAGATCTGAACAGCAGCTGCGACTGACGAGGTCTATAGGGAAGGCAGAGGCGGTGGGACATGCTGGAGAAAGAAAGAGCGGATGTGTCTTCGTTGTTCTTCTCTAAAAGAGACCGTAAAAAGCTCTTGAAAATTGGAAAGAGGAGAGAGCTTTAAGCGGAACTTTAAACGTCAACCAAAGGAGTGAGAAATGAAAGCCTCGGATTTTTTAATTTTTTATTTATTTTCTAGCCAGTCCATGTCAGAGGACAAGTGTCACACATTTGAGTGGAGCCACGCTTGTCACGTGGATTAATGGCGCGGTGGTTACTAAACCCTGAATATTTTCTAAGCAAATTACACAATCAATGCTAGTTGCAGCATGCCTGTCTAGATTAGCTTTCACTTTTACATCTTGCCCTTAAATCCAATGCCCGGGACGATTTTACAAAATTCGAATGTCAACAAATAGATCGATATTTTGGCCCAATTCCCTAAAAAACCCTCAACTGTAGCCTTTGTCTTAATTATATCCCAAACTTTTTTTGTCTCATAAAAAACCCCAAACTTTCACTTTTGTCCCAAATCTACCCCATTAACTTTTCGTCCAATTTTTTAATATTATTTTTTCTTTTCTTTTTCCTTTCCTTTTCTTTTTTTTTGTTTCACCTTCAATCTCTGGCCGGCGAGGTCGGCCCCGCCGGCCGCTGGCGAGGCTCGGCCTCACCGGCGTTGGGCGAGGCTGACCTCGCCGGCGTTGGGCAAGGCCAACCTCGCCAATAGCTGGCGAGGCCGAGCCCTCGCCAAACTGTCCTCGCCGTGGCTAGCGAGGCTCGGCCCCGCCGGCCTCTAGCGAGGCTCGGCCTCGCCGTTGCTGGGCAAGGCCGACCTCGCCGTTCTTGGCGGCGGCCGAGCCTCGCTAAACCTGTCCTCGCCGTGGCTAGCGAGGCTCGGCCCCGCCGGCCTGGCAAGGCTCGGCCTCGCCGTCTGCCGGGCTAAGGGCCCGACCTCGCCGGCCCGGGCGGCATGGCCGAGCCCTCGCCGAGATTTGGCGAGGCTCGGTCCCGCCGGCAACTGGCGAGATCGGCCTCCCCCAGCAATGGCGAGGTTCAGCCTCGCCAGTTGCCGGCGGGGCCGAGCCTCTCCATGGCTGGCGAGGCTCGGCCCCTCCAGCTATTGGCGAGGCCGAGCCTTGCCAGCGGCCGTCGGGGCCGACCTCGCCGGCGGCAACCGGCCAGAGGTTGAAGGTGAAACAAAAAAAAAAAGAAAATGAAAGGAAAAATAAAAGAAAAGAAAAAATAAAAAAATTCGAAAAAATAAAAAATAATATTAAAAAATTGGACGAAAAGTTAATGGGGTAGATTTGGGACAAAAGTGAAAGTTTGAGGTTTTTTATGAGACAAAAAAAAGTTTGGGATATAATTGGGACAATGGCTAAAGTTGAGGGTTTTTTAGGGAACTGTGCCGTGCTATTTTTATAATTTTTGGATATATTATTTTAAATTTTAACGGAAAAGTGGGGGGGGGGGGAGCGACAACTTCATAATGGGGATCGCACATGGGAGAGATGGCACGTGCCGCAGCGATGACAAGTGGCGAGACATCATTGGAAGCTCGTCAGCACACACCCGAGCTTTTGCATCACCTTCCGAAGCTGGAAATGGAAGGCGTCAAAACAACTTTATCCGGAAGAAGAAGCGGAAGAAGAATACCATGAGCGCCTTCACTCGAGCTGCATCTCCGCCACTCCACTCACAAACCACCGCCAAGCCCCGCCACGCCCACCCCCTCCGCCCCTCTCTCCCCGTCGCCCGGTCGTCCCTCCCCCCCGGCGGAGAACCCGCCGCCGGCCGCCGCGGGGTCGCCGCGTCCGCCCTCGCGCTCGGGCTCCTCGCCGCGGCGGCCCCCGTGGCGCGGGCGGAGAGCTGGGGCACGCGGTCGTTCCTGATCGAGCGGTTCTTCCAGCCGGGGCTCTCGCCGGAGGACGCGGCGGCGAGGATCCGGCAGACGGCGGAGGGGCTGCACGACCTCCGGGGCATGCTCGACACCATGTCGTGGAGGTACGTCATCTTCTACATCCGCCTGAAGTCGGCCTACCTGTCCCAGGACCTGAAGAACGCGGCCACCACGCTGCCGGAGGGTCGCCGGAGGGCTTACGTCAGCAAGGCGAACGAGCTGGTGGATAACATGGCCGAGGTACGTGCGCCTCACTCTTAAGCTAGTGTTATAGAGTTCGGATAAGCTAGTGATTAGTATAAAGTACAGCTTATGGCAATTATATATGTAATTAATTCTGACCAGAAAAAAAAAGTCTGAATTCCCGGGTGCAAAAATCGAAACCACAACCATCGATTTCTGAACCGAAAGCATAGGAACGCCCTTGTCGCTAGGTCAATGTCGGAGTGGGTTCTTCATGTGCGATTTCGGGGATGGAGTTTGATTGAAATGATGTCGCGTGCATGTTGTTTATGCCCGATTACGATATGTATGAGCCGTGACCATTTCTCTTTTCAGTTCGATTACTACGTCCGCACTCCCAAGGTGTACGAGTCGTACCTTTTCTATGAGAAGACGTTGAAATCCATCGATGACCTCGTGGAGATGTTAGCATAGGAGAGAGAGAGAGAGAGAAGGCGCGCACGGCGACCATGGCCTAATTGGCAGCCGCCGATCAACGGTGCGGTCTGAAGGGGCGACTCGGCTTCTGAGTTGAAGGCGCTTGATCTTGTGTGATTTCTGGCTACATTCTTTTGCCAAGTCAGAAATAGTCTTTCTTGCTTTCGAACTCATGGCTGCTCTTCATTAGCATGAAAATCAGAACAATCTCAAAGTACATATATGTGATGTATGTGAATGAAGCTGATATTTTATACGGAGGCTGATTCTTTTACTATCCCTTTGCAAGCGTTGATCTTGACTTTTAAATTCTCGGAAACCAAATGTTCTCGTGTCGATCCTATGATCTCGGAACTAGTTTTATCGATCGTCGTATCCCGTTAATCGCTTGGTCATCGTCCTTCTCAAAGTATATATGTTCATGAGGTGCTGGTGCATTTAGGTTCTGTTCTGTTTTGGCTAGAGACTGAACTGGTCATGTCACACTCATATTCATTAACAATACAAAGAACACTTTCGGTTTACATTTGAAATCCTCAGGCGCTCAATCAATGGAATCCTAGATTACACTAACAGAAGTGAAGTTGCACTATGCACAAACTTGTGCGCATTTTACACATACAAACCGAATGGAAGGAATAAAGATTAACCGACAGACCCAAACACCCGGAGTAACCCGATGCCTGCCCGGTGGGCAACACGTTAGGGTCGAGAAATAACCACGGCAGAGAGAATGATCAGCAACATCATCGCAATTGTTGCCCCGAAAGAGCCGATCAAAGATCCCGTTGTCCGCTCGCAGAACGAGTTGAATTGTTGGCAGATTGCGAACCAGTTTGCGCTGCTATTGCCGTTGTGGGCTAAGTAGACGATGGCAGCGGCAGCGGATCCTCCAGCAGTGAGAAGAGTAATCATCGCCTTCAAAATGTTCAAGATGCGCTTTATCAGATAGTGCAATTTTTATGAGAATTCGTTCTTGATCAGTACATCTCTCTCTTGCTCTTGTTTTTTTTTTTTTTTCCAAAAGAAAAAGAAATGTCACTTTTTTGCATGATCATAGTACGTTTTCTAGTAATTTATATGGAGAGTTTCGCCCTTTACCGTGTCGAAGATGATCAAGATGATTCTGGTGATTGTCATCGCGGGCCTCTTGACGTGGAAGATTGACAAGGGGATAGAAAGCACGAGATAGCCGCAGACAACGCCGTTCGCTATGACAAAGAACCTGCTCCATACGCACATCAAACATCATCAATTTGCTCGACCCAGTAAAACAAACAAAACAACGAATACAAAAACTTTGATCGAGTTAGCTCACGTGAAAGACTGTATATCGTTGTACTGAGCCTTGAACTGTAAGAACTGAGTGAAGAAAGGAAGCGTTTCATTAGTCGTTGCCATGGCTATGGCGCTTCCCAGCGTCCCAATGGCCGCGACGATGCGAAGAACGAAGTCGACTATCGACATCCATTTCTTCAGCCCTTGAGCTGGCGGTTGCTGCTCCGAAGCTTCGGCGGCTTCAATCTGTCCTGCCTTCATGTTGTCCTGTCGCGAAAACCCAGTAAAAGGAAGACTCTCTTCAAGGATTCTCGAATGGATGGATGCTTCAGTATGATACAGCTGAGCTGAGATTGCCTGAAAAGGGTTGGAGGGAGGGTGCGTATTTATAGGAACGTGATTAGCGAAGCTAAATCGTGTCTATTGTGGGCATGCACCTATTAAAGTGAAGCAAAGTGGGGAATTAGGTACTGCCCACGTCAAGCGGCTTGGGACTTTGCTTCTGTTCTTGATCCAAACGTCACTGTTCGATAGGGTTCATCGCCTTCCTGAAGCTAAGCTTCTGGTTCATTGACTAAATTAGGACAATCCCACCTGCCCATTTCTGATTTTCTGGTGCGTCATCAGGATCGTCCTGGGTTTTGACTAACATGATGGTGGGACTCCATCCAACTCCAGCAAGGCAACAAGGGCATACCCTGATCAGTAGACAGTACAATGTTAGCGAATGTTGCCCTTTCTTGAAGTCGGTTTGCCTAACTATTTCGCTTTGTTGATTCTTGAATTCAACTTATGGGTGCTGTGGTTTCGCTCCTGCACGTAGTTTGGTCCGATCCCAAGCGGCTGGTGAAAGTTAACCGAGCTTTTGCCAGCATTTTGGTCAGCGTCTTCATCCTTTGACCAGAGAAGAGAAAGGAAGGAGAGAAAAACTAGATATGCCTTTTGACTTTAATTACTTCCATACTTCAAGATTGTTTTGACCCATGAGGGAATTTGTGATTCGAGAGTTGTATCGATTAGGTTGAATTTGCTCTCTCTCTCTCTCTCTCTCTCTCTCTCTCTCTCTCTCTCTCTCTCTCTTAATTTTTGTCTATACGAGTCAGAACAACTGTACAACTAATGAATCAAGGCAATCTCCATCAGCCTCCCAAAAAGAGGGAAATGGTGATAAGGTACAAGTGTCGTTGGGGGGTCTTTAAAAATTCAATTCGTTCTCTGATCATGTGAAGAGGCTCTTTCGAGCTAAAAAAAAAGAAAAAAGAAGGGGCTCTGTTCCAAAGTCCAATGGGCTTGATGGATTGGTCATGTTTGTACCGGCTCGGCTCGACCTTTATGGGCTCTCAATCGCTTGGCGAGTGCACGGTGATACACAAGGTAGTCTAGTTGCTTTGGATTTCGAGGAATCATCATAGTACAATGCATGATTACTTACGGGGCGTTTGGTTTGGTTCAGTTTTGCGGGAATGCAAAGCCATTTTCTGAAGGATCTTTGGTGAAGGTGTATTGGGTGAAAGCAAATAGTTTTTGGATAACTCATTTTTGTGTATATTTTGTGAAGCAACTGTGAAAGAAAAAAGGGTAGACATGAGTGAGCAGTTGCAGAGAAGATAGGGATTGGGCAAGCTTCGCCAACGACGACCTTAAGCGACATCGATGGTGACCATCGGCCTAGCAAGCTTTGACCAGCGATCCTTGTCAAAGCAAATCTCATCGACTGAAGCTGAGCAAAGCTCAGACGAGTTGCGGCCGGGTCGCCTCGCCCGGAGTCGCGTGACCTAGGTGCAGTGAACACAGCGTCGCAATGTCTAGGTCGTGCAACTCAAGCAATTGCTAACCCTCAGATTTAGAGACTCGCAACTATTAACCCTTAGATTTGGAGCCTCGCGACCAGCCATGATCTCTCCTCAATTTGGCCTTCGAGCGTCGGCCCAACCTCAGGCGAGGTGACTCCGAGGTCACGTGACCTTAGACGATCCTCATCTGGACTTCAGCGTGACCTTAGACGATCCTCATCTGGACTTCAGCGTCAGGAGAGCCAGACAGTAGATATGGACTTTGACATCACATGAGCCAAGCGATATGAACCGAGCCCGCCCAACCCCAGCAATGCGACGTTGGTGTTACGCGACCCCTTGCCAACGTTTGTCCATCTCCTCCACCTTCGTGAACTCCCAAATCTGCAAAGAAAAGATGACTAGTTGTGAGGGCAAAATCTATATATGAAATAATTAATGAAGGCGATTTGGGAAGAAAAAAAAGTTCATTTACCCTGAAACCTGCCTTTCGAAAATGCTGAAATTCTGTTTTGCCAATGTTGGCATTCTCCATAGTAGCCAAAAATTTTTTGCCAAACACCTAAACTTTTTCCCAAAGGGTTTGGGGAAAATTGAACTAAACACTCCCTTAGTTTTCCTTATTAGGTCAATTTATTGTCGACTCCTCATTGGAAGAAAGAAAGAACATATTCATTTCCCGAACTTGCACCATTTTCATTGCAGACCTTGAACTTAAAATTCATACAATCAAGTCCTCCAACATGTTCGATTTTCCAATAAAGTCCGTTCATCTTTTGTTCCAATTAAGTGACTGGTTGGTCGGTAACGCTCGCAAGTTTTATATGGAAATGATCAGTGCCACTATTAAATGAAGACTTATTGACGATTTGTTAAGCTGGGTTTAGATCTATTCTACTTGCAATCCGATTAGGGCAAACCGATCGACAAGTCACTTATTCTTGCATTAGCCTTTTGGTCAGCTTTAATGTTACACAGCCTTCGATTTGCCCCGAACTAGAGATCGATTCCACAAGTTCAAGAACTTGATCTCAGCATCACAAGTTCAGGATACCGTAGATCCAATATGCATATACCTCCTATCATAACAAACTTAAAAAGGATGTCACATCCGTAGCCCTGCCTCAAACAGAAAGGACTCCTGGTCACTAAGGGTGTCCAAAAAGCCCGCGCCGGCTCGGCCTAGCTCCAAAAATTTGGGTTATTTTTGGGGTTGGGCCTTATCTTCTTTGGATAGGGCTTTTAGGTGTGGGTATTACTAGGTTAGGGTAGGGTTGGGTCGGGTCCGACCCATTGACACCGCGAGACCACCCACGGGCCACAGTTCATACATCTCCCTCTCTTCCCTTCTCTCTGCTCTCTCTCACTTTCTGTGTAGCCACAGAGCATGAAACCCAACCTTCCTTGCAAAGCTCGCTCCCTCCCTCCCTCCTTCCCTGGACTCACCTGCAGCTCAGCCGTCAATCCATCACCACCGGCTGTCGCCCACGGTGCTGCCGGTAATCTCTCTCTCTCTCTCCTCTCTCTCTCTCTCTCTCTCTCTAGGTCAAAGACCACAGGCACATGCCCTGTGTTCCCAAACAAGCAAAGACCACAGGCACATGCCCTGTGTTCCCAAACAAGGGCTTCACTCATCAAGACCTCAACCATCTTCTGGGCCAAATTCTGCCCCCTTCTGATGTGAAGTCAGCCTACTCATATTTAGGGAAGCCCAATGAAAAACAGGGGAAAAAAAAAACCACTTATAGGCAGGCGCAGTAGGACCACCTTCTTTCTCACTTTCTTCGTAACATCTTGGCCCAGTACGTTGGCAAGCATGGGGGACTGCACTTGGGCCCAGATGGATCTGGGCATGGCAATTCAATCCACTCGACACGTTCAAGCGCCCGGTCATTTTCCACCAATTTGCCGATTGAGTGTGAAAACTTTCTTACTCCAATGGAAGATAAGACGGTGATGTAGACAACCCTTGAGAAGACAGTCACCAGGTTCAGAGGAAAGCGGTGCACAGGTTAACTTTCGATGGGGGTGAGTAATTGAGCATTTGGTCGGGATGCGGAAAATTTCGTGCTCAAAACCCTGGGAACAACGAAAAAAAAGGTATATCGGTAACAAAAACTATAGGCGGCTGTATTGGCGAGATCCAACGGTGAAGAGGGGCCAAGGATCTTCCTCTCAATAGTGCTTCTCGAGGCTCCATTCTCCCCCCTCGCCCGCCCCCCAAAGTTGTAAGGCCTCGTTTAGCCTGGGCGGGGATAAGGAAAAAGAAGCCTTAGGCCAATAGCTACGAGCTCAAGATCAGGAGCCAAAGCGGAGCATCCAGTACAAAATCTTGAAAGCAGCGGGGATGACCTGAATCGCAAACGACCTTATGTATGTTATTCTTTGCATTTATTTCGTGTTTTTGAACTCTGGTCTCTCATTAAGAGTAATCTTGGAGCTATGCTTGCTACCCTAATGATGAGCCACATCCAATTTAAATGGACGGGTAATTAAATAGAATTTATCAATTCGAAAAGCTCGAATATTCTATATTGTTTGAAAAAAAGTCATAACCGGCTTATGCAAATGAGATTACATTCATCCGATAACCGAGCACCATGGACCTCTTAGGGTGCGCATGGAATGCATTCCAGAATAAAAATTCTATTCCGGAACAGAATGGCGTTTGTTAAAAAATTTCCGGAATGCATTCTGGAGCGATTTTTGCATTCTATAATAAAAATGCGTTTGTTAAAAATACTTGATTCCATAATACATTCTTGATTCCGGAATGAGTTTTTGGCAAGAAAAAGAGAAGCTACTTTTTGTAGCTTCTTGATTCCGGAATGCATTCTCCCTATTTTCTCATAATTTTTTTTTTAGAAAATGCATAAAAATTGAAAAATTCTAGAAAAATTCATAAAAATTTCCAGAAAATAAAAAAAAAGTCAGATTTCGGGAAAATATGATATTTGGTGAATTTTTTTAAAAAAAATCAAAAAAAATCAAAAATTTCAAAACTTCACAGAATAGCTTAAAACACATGTGGCCACCCACTTTGAGTGTAATTTAAATTTTTTGAGGTGCCCAAAAAAAATCAAAAATTTCAAAACTTCACAAAATGGCTTAAAATACCTGTGGCCACCTACTTTGAGTGAAATTTAAATTTTTTGAGGTGCCCAAAAAAAAGAAAAATAATAAAATAATAAAATTTTTCAAAACTTCACAAAATGGCTTAAAATACCTGTGGCCACCCACTTTGAGTGAAATTTAAATTTTTTGAGGTGCCCAAAAAAATAAAAAAAATAAAAACTTCACAGAATGGCTTAGAATATCCGTAGCCACCCACTTTGAAGTAAAATTTAAATTTTTGAGGTGCCCAAAAAATAAAAAATTCAAAACTTCACAAAAATGGCTTAGAATACCTGTGGCCACCCACTTTGAGGGAAATTTAAATCTTTTTAGGTGCCCAAAAAAATTTTAAAAAAATCAAAAATTTCAAAATTTTACAAGAATGGCTTATAATACATGTGGTCACCCACTTTGAGTAAAATTTAAATTTTTTTAGGTGCAAAAAAATCAACAAATCAAAACAGATTTCTGGAGCAGAATTAGTCATGTTTTACCAAACATATTTCTCCTCCATAAAGCAATTTCTGACAAGAATTCCAGAAATTAATTTCTGGTAAGAATTTGATTTCTGGAGCAGAATGGTTACCATTCGCACCCTTACAACATCATCAAAAGTAAAACCACCAGAGTACAAAACTCATACAGTTTATCCGTATGACATGGAGATCAAATTCAAAACAACTATCAATCTGGGGCAACCCAAATCCACACAAAAAACTTATTGGTTGGGAATGGGATATGTGCATTGTTTAGTCTCGCAAACCGACTGAAATCAAAGGAACGAGCAGTCGAACTCATTCCGTCTTTTTTGTTCAAGTGGTCAATCTGACATTATAGAGCTTGTGGGGAGTTTATATCTCATTCTCACTCCTTTTTAGATCACGTATCTTAGCTTGCAAAGTAAAAGATTCTTGATATGACTCACTGGCCATGAAGAGCTTGCATTTACCTTGCTAGATGAAGGTGGTCACTGGTAAGGGGGGAAACAAGAAAGAATTGCAGACAAAATTAAAGAGCATTCACCTAAGTTCTTGACTAAAGCTCACATGCAATTAGGAGGGAA